TTACCCCCCTTTCGTAGCCAAGGTAATCCACTTGCCTTGAAAAGGATTCATAGCCAATTTCCTACTTTCTTTTGATTGAATGAGAGGATAAACCTCCCATATGGTGGGCAAATCCTTATACTTATATAGGCTAATAGGATGGGTTAAGACAAGCTAGGAAGGCCTTTCTACTGTGATAGTAATGTACGATAAGCTTTAGAATCTTCTTCACACTTCCAAGCTATTGTTTGATAGTGGCCCAGCTCTTTCTGCATATATGTAAGAGCAAAAATATAAGCTGAAAGACTCTTTTCCCCTTCCTTGCATGGTGCCTTTGCTCAAAATAAGTGGCATTAGCCTACTCCAATGTCTCCTTTCAAGTGTCTTCCTAAATGAAGTTCTTTCTTAAATTGGGTTGGATGGTTGGGAGAAGCCATGACATAATCATATGATTCTCTTGAACCCACTTGAGTTCCACAACATCACCTTCCAAGTAACCAAGTTTCCCCCTCCCCCATGAACAATTTCATACCTTTGGACCACTTCAAGTAGTTGAGTCCATCTAGGGTAGTAATAGCTACGACTAATTGTTCTCCATGCTGTTACCAAGTGCAAGAGGGGTGGAAGTTACATTAGATGCAGCTTGTCAAGGAACTATTCATCCTAAAAGCTTAAGCTGTTAGGTGAGATCCTTGAGTAGGTTCTTATTCTCAAACACAGCAACACGCTCCCACATGCTAAAGAAATTTAAAATTATGCTCTAAGAAGTATCAAATCATTTTCAACAAATAAGACAAGTGGGCCTTAATTTAAACTCACTAATGGGCTTCTAACAGCCAGTTTTGTTGGTGGGTTTCTAACAGTTAGTTGTTTGTGCATTTTTAACAGCTGGTATTTCATTAAAATCTATAACAATTGGTTTTCATTTAATGCTCCAACAGCTAGTTTTGTTTTRTGTAGCTTAGAGTTTTCCTTTGAGAGTTCAAAGAGTCCTCTCTTGGGTGAGTGAGTCCCTAACCCCTCTATGTGAATGAATTCCCAACCTTGTTGCCTCTTTTGTAATCTATCTTATATTAACGAAATTCTATCCAATTTCCTTCTTTTCCATTTCTTCTTTGAACAAATTTCTTCTCTTTCTTTCTTCATACTTGAGTTACATAAATCGATATAAAAGCAGGTTACTTTAGAGCTTGTATCTTCATTGCTCTACTCTTTTTCCCATTCAAAAATAGTGTTACAGATCTAAAAAAATAGGGCAGATAACATCCCAGATTTGGCAACGAAATCTTCACCAAAATAGGTCATTCTGTATATCATCGAAAAGCTATTTGAGTCTATTTTCTAATGCAACAAATAATTCATCAATCAGAGCTTTCTACAAAAAAGTTATAAGCAATGAAATATTGGCCAACGAGCTGCCTACTACAACCAAATTCTTCAAGAAACAAGGTAATAATTAATAAAGTTCCAACTCAAAATATCAACCTTAGTGATGAAATCAATGAGCTTAAGAAAATCTATAAAACCCTTCAATGCATGATAGAAGAAATTTTATGAAGGCTTCACAAATAAGCTCCAAAAAGCAACCATTTTGCTCTAACTTTGTTTATGGAGCAAGCCTTGGCAGATTGCAATGACAATCTTATGTGGTCATTCTCATCAGTGGTATCTACTGAGGAAGAACATATTGAATCAGATAGTCCCCCAATATTTGATGAAGACCCTGTTGTGTATGAGGAATCTTCTATTGCCTATAATGAATTTCAAAGCGATGGAGATAATGCTTATCAAATAGGAGATTTTGACTACTTCATACAAGTGTACAAGGACCTTTATTGAAAGCCATTTTCTTAAAGTTTTGAGTGGGTGTTGAAGAAGAATTAGCTAACTTGAAACACATGAAGCATGTCTCAATAGATAGGAGACATGATGAAGAAATTCCAATCCATATTGGTGGCTTATACCATCAATTTCCTATCAAAGGGTCAATAACAAAGAAATGCAACGGAGGCATGGTGACAAATCATTCTTTTGGAGCTGCTAAAACTCAAGGACGAGTTCTTTTCACGAGGGGAAGATTGATGCAATTTAAAATTATGCTCCAAGAAGTATAAAATTATTTTCAGAGAATAAAATAAGTGGGCCTTAATTTAAACTCACTAATGGGCTTCCAACAGCCATTTTGGTTAGTGGGTTTCTAACAGCTAGTTGTTAGTAGACTTAACAGCTAGTTTTCATTAAAATCTCTAACAGCTAATTTTTCATTTAATGCTCCAATAGCCTTGTAATTTCAAGCTAAAGGCATCAAGTTTTTTATTCTGTTTTTGTGAAGCTTAGAGCTTTCTTTCGAGAGTTGAGAGAGTCCTCTCTTGGGTAAGTGCCCAACTTTGTTGTCTCTTTGTAATCTGCCTTATATTAACGAAGTTCTATCAAATTTCCTTCTTCTTTTCCATTTCTTCTTTGAGAAAATTTCTTCTTTTTCTTTCTTCATGCTTGAGCTGCATTAAAGCTGTTCATTCTAAAAGCTTAAGCTGTTAGGTGAGATCCCTGAATAGGCTTTTATTCTCTAACACACCCCCTCACACGCAAGCCCATCAGGCTTGAAGCATGGACAAGCACAAGCCCACCCATACCTTATATTGAAATTTAATTAATTATAAATGGGGATGGCAAGGATCGAAAACTAGACCACTTGGTCAAACAAGCTCTAACACCATGTCAAGGAAACATTCAACCTAAAAGCTTAAGCTATTAGGTGAGGTCCCTGAATAGGTTTTTATTCTCTAACCCAACTGAATCCTCAGTTTCCATAACATCCAATGAAGAAATTCACTAACATATGGTTCAGCCCACCAATAACACACACAACTAGCAGCCTACACAGGCTCCAAAAACTACAATGTGGTGCACTGTGCACTCCACACAACTACTTCAAAGAAACAATTTTAACCATAATGCCTAACAACGAGAAGAAAAAACCAACATTCGCAGGTCACACACCCAACTCTAGTCCACCTTACTTGCATTACATGGACCAGAATGAATCAATCATAGACTTCTAAAATGAAAAATCAACCACCACCAACTAGAGAAAAATCTGTTGACTCATTTACAGACTTCTCCCTAGTACAAGAGAGGCTAAACAGGCCCAAAACAAGGGCTGGAATCAACCACAGTTTACTAAACAGCACGTAATCCACTTACCTCAGCCTTTTAATGATTTATGGTGTCCCTTAGAGTGATCCGCTAGCATTAGACATGGCTCCCAGTCCTATCACACAGTCCATGATCAAGAGAAAAAATTCTGGTAGACACCCAGCACCCAGAACATCACATGATCCAAAACTCTATAGTGAATAATGAGTTTTACACTCCCATCTTCCCAAAACAGTTACCACAACTGATGTTTCTTAGCACTAAGACCAAGAAAAAACAAAAGAAAAGAAGAACAAAGGTGTTTAGATCAGTCCAACACTTTACAAGATTTTTCCTTCTAATTAGTTGATCAGCCCTTCAATCCACTCAAGAAAAAGACCTAGAAAGAGTTCAGATCACCCAGGAAGTGCTCTGGTACCATGTAATCAGTGCTGGAAAAGATGAAGAGAGAAAAGAAAAAAGAAGAAAAGAGTGGGAGAAAGTATCTTGTGGGTCTGGCAGCACCCCCCCTACACTTAATTTATTAGGACGACATAAAGATCACTGTAATGACAAAAACACTCATGTGCTATACCCGAGGCATATATAACACCCCATTACAAAACTTATGAACCTCCATACCAATCTCTGACTAATCTTTTTAGACTCAAGTCTGAACTCTGAAGCCTAAATATCGTTTCCAAGCTTTTCACATCCTGTACCACATTTAGAACAAAAAATAAATAAATAAACGAAAAGAAAAGAGACACCTTTAGGGTTATACTGGGGGACCACATCTTAATCCATAAGAGGCACATGTCCATGTGCACTTGAGATGTTCCAACATATAAATCATTTTGAGCATGACTACGCACTATAAATCTGGGGGCTACCATGGTGCCATACCATGAACCATTGCTGGGTCCATTCTCCCCAGAAGAAAAAGAGAGGATGGTCAATTCTGTTTCCCTTCAAGGTAGTTCTGTGTAGTATCTTTTATGTACAAGTATCAGAAAATATGTGAATTTAAAACGGGTATAAGGAACACAGTGTCGATGGTCAGAATAGATGAAGGTTCTAGGAAAGAAAAGGCCACAAATTTATGATAAATTTTCTGTTTTGGGCTGCATTGTAACTGGGAACTTCTTTGAGGGGTCAGCACCTTTGTTCTGGGTTTTGATAGCTGTACTTTTTTAAACTAATCATTGAATTAAAATTATCGTTTCCAATAAAAATTATGATAATTTATTCCTTCTTTTTCACTTTTCACTTAATGCACACGAAATATCAAAGATCTGTCTTAGTGCAGCATCCATCCATGCAGATAAGGCAAAAAGGAAAGGAGAAAAATTATTTTTTTTCTGCAAAAAATTGGGAAGCTTCTCATTCCTTGTCAGCCTTCTCTCCCTTTTTGTTTTTCCTTACATTGTATTTCCATTTTTCTCAGTAGTTCACATTTCCTTGTTGCTTGTTCTATCTTTTCTTGATAATCCTCCCAAGGTCCCAACAATGTCCCAAATTTAGTCATAGAAAAGACCACAAACAATTTCCTGTCTGTTGCAATTCAAGGGAGGAGGTTGGGGAGAGAGAAAGATATATCAAAATATTGGAGGGTTTATGACCTCAATATTTTGATAACAGGCTAGAAAATGAATAACATCTAAGTGCAAAAGACTCCAATAAGTTTCCAAAGCCTTTATCCAACCAATAAACAGGAATTCGTGATTAAAATTGTTAGTTGTTTTTGGGAAAAACTGAAATCTAAAATAACAAAAGCAGACCAAAGTTAATCCAGTGTAAACTTAACTTCCACAATCACAACAAGTTAAAAACTGAAAATCCAGTTCACTGCTTTAAATCAATTAATCACCTACAATATCACTTACCTTTTGGAACACCGGATACTCAGCATTGTATCTTGCACACGCAAACTCCTGTGCTTCCTGGCTTGTCCCTGGCTCTTGGTAGAGGAATTGATTGCATGGAAATGCTAATATCTCCAAACCTAAATTAACAGAATAGGATAAGAATATTCTTTCAGTTCTATAAAAGAACCATATATAACTCGAGGGAAAAGATTAATATTTCTAGCTAAACGTCTTGATTTAAATAACCAACCAGCTAAAACATACAGATATGAAGGCCAGCTAAAACATTAATAAGGAGAATTTTCAATTATATATCACAATGTCTTAATTAAACATAAGATTATCAAGAAAACCTTTAAAAAGAATGCAAAACCATTCGTGGCACCCAGGGGAGTAAAAGAACAAAGACCGAAGTAAGTATTTCAATATTATTAATAACTATTTTAAATATTCTAGGCAAGTAAAAAAGCGACCCAGCGGAAGAAATCCTCAACAAGTATTAAGAAGAGAGTTCTTCCAGAAAGATTCGTGGGCGTTAACAAAATAAAAGAAAGAAAAAAGAAAAGAATTCAGACTCAGATAACAGGGTAAGCAGCTTCACGAGTGCCTCATAACTGGTCTCTTAGAAAACGAGGGAATACCCTTTAAATTTCCAAATTCCCAAGAAAGAAAAATAAATAAAAACGAAAAAGAAAGTAAAAGAATAAAGAAAAAGTAACAATTATCCTACCTTTGTCCTTGTATTCGCCATAAAGCTCAGTCAACTGAGTGTAATTAACATCTGTAAATCCACTGATTCGGTTCCGTACGATTTAAAGAATAAAGAAAAGAAAAGGAATCATAATTTCAGAAAGAAAATCAAGGAAATAGGCAATAAGAAGAGAAGAAAATATTAGGAGATTGAGGGCATATAAAGGAAAAAAAAAGTAAGGAACGTACCATTTGGAAGCAACGTTAACGACGAGGAGAACCTTCCCTTTGTAAATGCTGAGATCAACGTCCTTACCTCTGCTATCCTGTATTAAAGCATGGAATTTGTCAGAACCCCGACGTCTAAATCTCCAGAGACAGAAACAGAGAGAATTGAAGTCTGATATCTGTATTTACCCTGACAGTGAATTCATGGATGGACTTCTGCGGAATCGATTCAGAAGCACCCATGGCAGCAGCAGCAGCAGAAACAAATGGCTCTCTTGTACCCTTGAAAATACAAATCCGAGATGAAACGGGCTAGCTAGCTGGGGACGACCTCCAATTTAAACCAAACAGAAATTTTCTCTTTTTCTCCCTTTATTAATTATTAAAGGCAACTTCTGTGATACGGCAAAGGTATGATACCTGAAAAATCTTTAACTAACGGAAAATCCACGTGAAAATTAGTTGCTCCTTCGGCTTTCGCTCCTTCGCTCAGACCTCGAGATTTTCTGTTATGCGTTCGCTCAGACCTCGAGATTTTCTGTTATACGGCTTAAGGCATGATACCTACAATTGTGTAGGACCTACAAGAGATGGCATCCAGACCTTTATGACCCAGAACTGGAATCTGGAAGTATAAAACCGAAAACCAAAAGCGGCCGAAACCGAAATTATTGCGTTACGTATATCATCAATAATTCGGATTTCGGAATCAATCCTGAGTTCACCGCCGGGTCTTGGGCCTCTGAGTTCATTAAATTTATAATTTATGTAGGAGGAGGTGATGACTGATGAGAACACCATCTCCGTCTCCATCTGTTGGTTGATGGGCGGTGGAAAAGACGACGGCCATGTTAATTGCTAATTGTTAGCCACATCAATAATAAATGCGAGTAGTTGAGAGAGGAATTAATGGGGTATGGTGGTCTGATCCGATGGTCTCATCAACTCAAGTTATGCTAAACTCTCAGACTCACAAACAAGGTCGTCGCTCGCCCAACGGTGAACGGCTGAACGGCCCATGCAAGTAATGCTTCGTTGGTTGGCTCGTTGAGATATTCTCATGAATCAGCCAGGTAGTACCCCCAATCAAAACTAGCTAGCTCGTCTGGGTAGATAAGCGTAAGCATCAAGTTTCCACGCCCAAAATGTTATTCAACCAGAAAATTAAAGGTTCAGGTCGACGGAGACGGGAGATGAGACTACACAACTTTTCTATAGCTAACTAAAGGAGTTTTGAGAGAATAGTTTTCCTTGTGTTCAGTGTATTACTGAAGTGATAATGACATAAAAATAAGAGATAATTACAGAGATAATTACAACAATCGGTGAGAGAGTTTGATCAGTTTATCTCAAACGGTTGCAGTGGATATATATCAGCTTACTCTAACATCCCCCACCCAAGTTGAAGGAGAAGACCTACTTTCAACTTGGTACGTAGTCGAGTGAACCGTGGACCAGCGAGTGCTTTGGTGAGTATATATCAGTTGGTTGACCATTTGTTGTGATGTAATGTAATGTAATGAACACTCAATTGCTTATTTGTCACTTTTTTCTTGTAACGAAGTAAAAATCAATTTCTATGTATTTTATACGAGCACGTACGAAAGACTGGGTTAGTCATGACATATGTGGCACCAATGTTGGCAGACCACAGTTTTGGAGGAGAAGGCATTGATATGTGCAATGCAGAGAAAAGTGATTGGAGCCACTTCATGAGACTGGGTTACTGAGTGCTTCTTGGACATCCGTTTGGGACCAAGAAAAATGCAAAAACTCCCCCATTGGAGCATCTGCCATCCGGGCATCCAGCCCAATCGGCAACAGGTAAGGCATGGCGCTGGAAGGAGGAAGAGGAAATCAGACTGTATGGCATGATCATCAAGGGCGTGCCTTTCAAACAGCGTAATAGACGCTTGGCAGCAGAGAGATGAAAAGTGGTAGGGCTGTATAGAAACTGGCAGAGCTTATTAATACAAAATGATATTTTTGGGCGAGTAATAAAGGTTATATATTGGAGTGCATGCTTACCAACTATTTGGCGATTGTGGCATCAGTAAGTGGAGTGTTCATCGTCTTGGATAATGACAAACCAGCAGCCAGCTGCATTGGTGTGGAGAGAGACCGGTGTGGAGCCAGCAGCCAATGCACGGTGGATGTGCCTGTGAGGCACCCATTTGTGAGCAGATCCCGTCACGTGTGGAGATAGGTTTGGCAAAATCTATATTGGTTTTTGGAGAACATCAATGATGTATTTCCATTGGGATAGGTGAATAGTGGACTCATATATGAGAACTTCAACCCCCTAGGAAATAGTGAAGTTGGCCGAGATCTTTGATGGAAAAGGTGGAGCTTAAGGTAGCAAGTAGTGAGGAACAAGGACTAAAGTATCAGTATCAGGTATCATATCAGACAAATTGGATTCAGATATGGATATGCTTGGAAAACACATGGATACGGATGAAAAATATGGAAACGCTTGGATACGCTAAGAAAATGCATACAAATTCCATAAATATATTAATAGCATTAATTTTAATCTCAAAACAACTATAAATATGTTATTATAAAATTAAAATTAAAATATAACCTTAACATAAAATATATCAAATCTATTAAAATTTTGAAGATGCATATCATATGAAAATTCATAAATTTTAATTACTAAAATAATTATTCTATTATTAATATTTTATTTTTTATAAAATTTTAAAATTAAAAAAATTATATAAAATGTAGATTAATGAATTTGAAAGATTCAATTTATATTATATTTTCAAATACTTTCTAAACAATATTTTATTTTTATAAACAATATTTACATTTTTATTTAATGCAAATTAAAATATTAATTAATAGTTTATAAAAATTTTAAGATATATATATATAATGTGCAAATTTATAAAATTTAATTATTAAAATAATTATTCTATTACTACTCTTAAAACATAATTGTTCTATTATTAATATTTTATTTATATAAATTTTTGAAATTAAAATTCATTTTTGTATATATATGGATTTTATAAATTATTTATAAAATACTAATTTTGAATATTGTTCTTTTTTAATTTGGAGTTGATGAAAATAAATATATGTTTTTTGTTTACATGTAAACATTAATTTTAATAAAAGATAATTTATTATACTTGTTGACATGAAATAAGAAATGGCCTTGTGGTTAAAGGTGCTTGCGTGCTTGGGCATTGACCAACCTGGGTTTGAGACATTCCGCTCCTCTTTTTTATAGTGAGGCACCGTGTTATTCATTGAAACCATGGTCGATACGTTTTCATATCGGTGCTTATTGGCCAATACTATACGACATGTGCCAATACGGTGACTGACATGATACACCTGCAATCGTATCTCATATCGGTATAGTCTAATACCTATACAATATACCCCGTATTAGGCATATCACGTTGATATTTTAATCCTTGGTGAGGAAATAGCATGCTGACTCGAGCCTCTCACTATGATATCATTTGCATAAACTAGAATGAAAATGGTATGAGTGGAGAAGTGTCGAATAAAGAGAGAAGAATCAGCCACTAATATAGAGAAACCAATGCTAGTAAGAAAAGTGCTGAGGCGATGATACCATGCCCGTGGTTTAAGCCTATATAATGCCTTTTGTAGTTTGCAAACAAATGTGGTCTGTTTGCATTAATGAATCCAAGTGGTTGTGACATGAAGACTGTCTCTTGAAGATCACTGTTCAAGAAAGTTGTGGTGACATCGAGGTGGTGAAGTGGCCAGACATCTGCAAGAGCAAGATGAAGAACCACACGTACTATGACAGGTTTAATAACAGGACTAAAAGTGTCCACATAATCAAGGCCTTCCTGTTGTGTGTATCCCTTGGTGACTGAACGAGCCTTAAAGTGCTCAACACTACCATCGGGTTTATGCTTAAGACGAAAGATCCACTTGCATTCTACAATGTTTGCACCTGCTGGAGGAGGACATAGGCTTCATGTTTCATTCTTGGAGAGAACTAGCATTTCATCTTGCATGGCAGTATACCGTCAAGGGTCTTTAAGGGCTTGGTGGACCATTCTTGGTTCAGTGATGGAAGTGGGAAGGGTATAATGAGAGCTGAGGTATAATTTGGGTTTGAGTGTGTAATCATGTGGTGGGTTTAGGTAAGGGCAGGAGGAACAGGGGCTGATGACATATGTGGAGGTTCATGGGAGATGGTGAGTGTGATGGGTTAGGGATTAGGGAATAGGGACTATCAGGTAAATGTTTCTGTGATGGTGGTTCAGGTGAGTGGGGAGAAGTGGGAGGAAAGGTAGTTTGGTGAAGAATTTCGGAGATGGACCAAGTACGGGGAGGATGAAGGGTAGGGGAGATTGACATGACGAAGTGTGTAAGGGTGTGGATCGGGTATAGGATAAGATGGATGAGTGGGGGAGAGAACAGGTGGGGGTCCAACGGGAGGTGAGGGAGAGTGAGAGGGAGAGGGTAGTTGTTGTGAGGTTATTGAAAAAGCAAATTGATGCTCATTGAAAGTAACATGGTGTGAGACGATATAGACCTTACTCGATGGTATATGTAAGCACTTGAAGCCCTTTGTTTGATCACAATAGTCAATGAATGTGCAAGGAACACTTTGATACTGCAATTTGTTGTCATTGTATGGGTGTGTAAATGGGAAACATTCACAGCCGAAGACACGTAAGGATAAGTAATCTAGTGGCCATTGAAAGAAACATTCCCGTTGAATTTTGAAGTGAAGTATTTTGGTGGATGGTCAATTGATTAAGTAGACTGAGGTTGAAAAGAATCAAACCATAGAGAAGGTGGTGTAGAAGCTCTTGCCATTAGTGTCAATCCAAATTCAATTATGTGGCATTGATTATGCTCTATTGAGCCATTTTGCTGTGGTGTGTGTGGACAAGAGGTCTGGTGTATAATACCATGTTGTTCAAAGACAGATTTTAGTTTCTTATATTTTGTACCTCCATCTGTTTACAGCACTTTGAGTTTGCAATTTAAGAAAATTTCGACCTGATTTTTAAATATGATAAATGTTGAAACTACATCACTTTTTTGAACAAGAGCAAAGATCCATGTAAATCTACTGAGTGAATCAATAAAGCTGATATAATAATGAAAGCCACCTAGAGATCTGAGTGTGGCTACCCAAACCCAGGATTTTTCAAGAAAAGCAAATGTTTGGAAAATGGAAATTTAGGAAAACCCAGGATTTTTCAAGAAAAGCAAATGTTTTTTTCTTGGTGACTTGTAACCCTATGGGATAGAGATTCTTTGAGTTCAGGGACCAAGGTACAGTGCGGGAAGGTGTTAGGCACCCCGCACACATTCGATTAAACCGGCCTTTTACTTCACCAATGTTCCAAGGAAATATTCATAATTTTGAGCTTAAATTTTAATTAACATACACACACATAAATTTGTCAAGACAAAAGAGATAGAATTTGCCAAAAAAAAGCTAGAAAGAAAACAAATTAAATTGCTAAAGTGAACAAATTCAAACATATAAATGAAATTACATGAAATGGAGAATTGGCAAGATGAAACAAAACATTCTGAAATATAAACTAACAATACTAAGGGGAAATGCCAAAACAGAGAATTAAGTAATGAGATTGAGTAAAATTGTCACAAATTAATAAATTAAGCA